CCCCCCCCCCCCCCCCCCAGCCATAGGATAGTAGCGGCTGTGGCCATCCTACCCTCCCCGACCATTACCTTGTTGAGATGCGGGTTCCTGGTGACATCGTATCCGCGCTTCTTGAGGGGCACAGGGCGCGCCACCCCGGGCTTGGAGTGGCAACCTCGAGTGGACACGGAGGATGCCGAGAAATGGAGGGCGCTGCAGGCCAGGCCGGGCTGGAAAGGCAGCCGCGCGCGGGTGCTCAGCGTGGCGCCCATGGTCCTTGCACAGACCTGGCACCAGGGAGAGACCAAGGTCAGGGGCGCCTTCCTGTCAGCCAGGATCCACGCGTGCAAGAGGGCCCTGGGCCTGAGCCGGGGACGCGTTCTCTGGGAGAGCTCAGGGGTTCACGAGGGGTTAAAGGCGCCACCGCTTCCGCCCCTCCCACGTCCTCCGCGGCCACCTGCTCTTTTCCCTCTGCGTGCAGTGTGCCAGGCCTCGCCAGATGCCTGCAAAGCGAAAGCAAGCCCAGGAAGCAGATCCGTGCAGGTGACAGTCTGCGCCACCCCCGCCCGGATCCCCGCGAAGCAGAGGAGACTGCAAGGCGAGGGGTCCCGGAACCCTTGATCCTCTGATAGTTTGCCTCGGCCCCTGGCTCCCCAGCCCACCTGCAATGCTCGCGAGCTGATGTCTACACGGTCTGCTGCGGGGCAGGCGGGGCGAGGCTTTGCGGTCCGTTGTTTCTCTCCCGCCAATGGTAGAATAGCGCGGGTGGCCAGGAGCTAACCCGGGCTGGTGCGTTCTGGAAAGACGTCCCTTAACCTTTGTTCACAGTCCCTGGCTTTCCCTGTGGACGCGCGTGGGGCGCCTCTTACCCGCGTGCAGATCCCTCCCAGTAACAAGATGAAGCTCAGTCTCCCCTCCCCCCTTCCTCCCATCTGGATAATACTGAACGCACTGGGGATGGGTTGTGGGGTAAGCGTTTATAGATCAACACACCTCACTCTCCCAGCGATGGGGAAGGCCCAGTTGCGGCATTCGGAAAAGCCCTAGGCATCAGTGTGCTGTAGTGCTGTCCAGTACAAACCCCTTAGCCATGTGGTATGCAAATTTAAATACACGAATTAGAATAGAATACAATTTTAAATGTATTTCCTCAGTCGCACTAGCCACATTTCAGTGTTCAAGAAATGTGAACTTTGGCAGAAAGTTCTATTGGAAATGGCTGATAACAGGATCGGATGATAAACAGCCCCTGGGAACCCCATGAGGCCTACAATGGATTGTTGGGGCCAGCCTGGGATTTTGGCAGTCCATCTAACCTTGAATTTAGTTTTATACAGAGGGCTTCAAACAGTTCATTAAAAATGGAATTAAAGGGATGAGCATATGGTGTAATGGTTATGTTGGTGGACTCCCACGTAGTCGTGCACGGCGGTTCAAGTCCCAGACCCAGCGGCGTAAAACTTACACTGGGTGCATGTGCATGTATGCCTGTGATCCCTGAGAGGAGAATGGAGAAGAAGGGATTGTGGTATGACCATCCACCCCCCAGGGGGTTGATTTCTCACTTTCTGTCTCTTCAGCAAGTGCACGTGCCCTATGGTAAAAATCTCTCTTAAAAACAAAAAAGAATTAAAATATAAGTTCATTTTGGTGCAAAAATAAGTTTGAAACCCATGTGACATTTTTTTCATAATATGCATTGACCATGAAGTTCTTGGAAGATCCCTCATACTTTTCTCCACACAATAGTCAGGAGATTCCTTTTGAAGCAAACTTTTCATTGTGTGTAGAATAAAATGCAAACTCTTTCTGGGGCCTACACTTTATTTCATAGCCTGGCTCCTGCTAACTTCTCCCAGCTCATCTCACCCTCTCATTCAGTTACAGACTCACTTTTTCTTCCCCATTGTTCCATCCCTCTCAGTTCTCTCCCAACTCAGGCCCTTTCCACCTACTAATGCCTCCACTTGCCATGCTCAGACTCCAGCCTTCCAAACATTGCCATCTCTCAGGTCTCTACTAAGTTATGTGCTTAACGGCCTTCCCTCTATCCCATCTTACACTGTCCTGCACCAGTGGAGTAATATAGTACCAAGTACTATATAAAGAAGGGGTATTTTTCTTCAAAGAACTTAATGTAGTCAGTAATAGCCTGTTTTTAAGATTGTTTATGGTCTGTCTTTCCCCCTCTTATGAAACTGCATGAAGAGAGGCTCAGGACTAGCAGTTAGTGTAATGGCTATGTCGCTGAACTCCCAAGTAGTAGACCGCAGTTCAAGTCCCAGACCCGGTGGCTTAAACTCATGCCAGGCCTGTGTGCATGCATGCCCAAGATCCCAAGAGGAGAATGGAGGGGAAAGGATTGCAGCATGGCCATCCCCCCTGGGGGGTGATTTCTCGCTTTCTGTCTCTGTGCCTCTCTCTGTCTTTCTGGCACGCGCACGTGCAAAAACCTCTCAAAAAAAAGAAAAAAAAGAGGCTCTTTGCTTATAAAACCCATGTGGCTTCACTGCCTAGCTCAGGGTCTGCTATTTAATTGTACAGTAAATAGTCGTTAGGTAAATCAAGGGAGATAACAGTACAATGGATTGTTGGGGCCAGCCTGGGATTTTGGCAGTCCATCTAACCTTGAATTTAGTTTTATACAGAGGGCTTCAAACAGTTCATTAAAAATGGAATTAAAGGGATGAGCATATGGTGTAATGGTTATGTTGGTGGACTCCCACGTAGTCGTGCACGGCGGTTCAAGTCCCAGACCCAGCGGCGTAAAACTTACACTGGGTGCATGTGCATGTATGCCTGTGATCCCTGAGAGGAGAATGGAGAAGAAGGGATTGTGGTATGACCATCCACCCCCCAGGGGGTTGATTTCTCACTTTCTGTCTCTTCAGCAAGTGCACGTGCCCTATGGTAAAAATCTCTCTTAAAAACAAAAAAGAATTAAAATATAAGTTCATTTTGGTGCAAAAATAAGTTTGAAACCCATGTGACATTTTTTTCATAATATGCATTGACCATGAAGTTCTTGGAAGATCCCTCATACTTTTCTCCACACAATAGTCAGGAGATTCCTTTTGAAGCAAACTTTTCATTGTGTGTAGAATAAAATGCAAACTCTTTCTGGGGCCTACACTTTATTTCATAGCCTGGCTCCTGCTAACTTCTCCCAGCTCATCTCACCCTCTCATTCAGTTACAGACTCACTTTTTCTTCCCCATTGTTCCATCCCTCTCAGTTCTCTCCCAACTCAGGCCCTTTCCACCTACTAATGCCTCCACTTGCCATGCTCAGACTCCAGCCTTCCAAACATTGCCATCTCTCAGGTCTCTACTAAGTTATGTGCTTAACGGCCTTCCCTCTATCCCATCTTACACTGTCCTGCACCAGTGGAGTAATATAGTACCAAGTACTATATAAAGAAGGGGTATTTTTCTTCAAAGAACTTAATGTAGTCAGTAATAGCCTGTTTTTAAGATTGTTTATGGTCTGTCTTTCCCCCTCTTATGAAACTGCATGAAGAGAGGCTCAGGACTAGCAGTTAGTGTAATGGCTATGTCGCTGAACTCCCAAGTAGTAGACCGCAGTTCAAGTCCCAGACCCGGTGGCTTAAACTCATGCCAGGCCTGTGTGCATGCATGCCCAAGATCCCAAGAGGAGAATGGAGGGGAAAGGATTGCAGCATGGCCATCCCCCCTGGGGGGTGATTTCTCGCTTTCTGTCTCTGTGCCTCTCTCTGTCTTTCTGGCACGCGCACGTGCAAAAACCTCTCAAAAAAAAGAAAAAAAAGAGGCTCTTTGCTTATAAAACCCATGTGGCTTCACTGCCTAGCTCAGGGTCTGCTATTTAATTGTACAGTAAATAGTCGTTAGGTAAATCAAGGGAGATAACAGCCACGTTCCTAAGGATTGTGAATGCCCAGACTGACTGCTCCGCAGATGGCCCAGTCCTCTACTGGTGCCCCTTTAAAGCTGACCCCACTAGTGTGCTAGTCCTGTTCTAAGTACAAGGCAGACATCATGGTGTGTAATGTGCTCGGGGCTACTCCTGCCTGGGTTCAGGATTCCCTCATCACCTCAGGAATGATCACCTCTTCCTTAGTCTCCCCCTGTCTGATCTAATTTCCAATCTGCAGCTTGAATGATCTATACAAAACAGTGCTTTCTAGAACAGAATCAAAATTGCTTGGTGGGGGAATAATGTTAGAGGCAAGATACAGATTTCCAGGCTTACCCATGGAGCTTCCCATCCAGTAGGGCTTAAATGCCTGAAGTTGGGTTTCCTCTTATAGTGTATATTTCTATAAGCCTATAACTGATATTTTTTCTGGCTTAAACAAGTTTGAGTCAAATTTTTGTCTGCAATCAAGAGTATTAACTAGTGTTGTCAATACTTTTTATGTTTTCACATCTTCCCACCAGTCTATGAATATCTTGAAGGCAGAGATTGTGTGTGTGTATTTCCATCTTTGGTCCCTAGTTCATAAAAAATCATTGAAACAGTTTGTTTGTTGCTCGAGACTGCCCTTGCTCCATACAATGACCTTTCCCTTGCCTGGAGGATATTTAATAGGTAACCTTGATCATTTGACACTCAGCTAGAAATCAGGATGTAAACAACTAAGGGTTCCAAACAAGCAATATAATTTTTATAGCATCAATTAACTAAAGCTTATACAGTTTATATGGAAGAGTCTTTCACATGTCCTCACCCATGACCTATATCTCTTAACTGAGACATAATTCCAGCAATACTATTTTTGTTTTGTTGTCTGTTTGTTCTTTGGCCACAGTAAAGGAGAGGTGCTAAAAGAAGGTCCACCCTGTGCAGCCACAGAACACAGTAGCAAGGAAGTGACTTTTTGGTTCCATAGGATTGTCCAGGCACTCAGGTTCTTTTTCTCCTGCTGCTGTTTTCTCCTCTAGGTATTGCTATTCTCTGCACAGAAACACTGATACCCATCAGCATCCTGGCCCCTGGAAAGGGGAAGAGGGGAAATAGAGGGCAAGCAGCTTTCTTTCAGGGAAGTGACTTGGAAGTTGTGCATATTACATATTTATATTCACATCCTATTGGTCTCAGTCAGCTACAGAGGGCTGGAACACAATGTTTCCAGTGGAAAAGGCGTGTGTGTGCTCTGCTAAAGAGTCTTTTATTAAAGGAAGAAGGGGAGAATGGTTCCTAGGGCCTAATCAATGGAAATCTAGATACAGTTCTCATTTTATATTAAAGTGCTTGGCTCCAAGTGGTGCTCAGAAACTGTTAGTTATTATTATTGGCATGTGTGCTTTCCATCTCTGGTTTTGTGGCAATTTCCTTACTTTTAGAAGCTGAGCACAGGATTTCAGAGACTAGGTTAACAACCTTCGAAATATTCTAGAACTTATTCCAACTTCATATGACTCTGACTTCCATAGCCAGCCAGCCTTGTAGTCTGGTCCAACACTAGATAAAACTGATGAGTCTCCATAATTTGTCTTGACTCTTCTCCCTTCGTTTACTGACTTCAGCTCTCATTTTATGCTGCTTCTTGACTTGACTGGAAAGAAATCACATTCCATCCCCTCCCTCTTGCTATGGGTTCTGTATTTCTTTGCTCTTTCATTGTGATTACAGAGATTTGCTCTCTACCTATTGCCCCACTAGATTGTGAACTCCTTAAGGACGGCACCAGCCCTTATAATTCTTTGCATCTCCAGCACCTGGGACAGTGCCCGACACAAAGAATGCCTCCGTTTGTTCAATTTAATTAAATTAATATGTCTCAAATTTGTTCATGACCTTCCAGGGAGTGTACTTAATTGAAACTAAATTTGGTACAATTTAAAGGGCATCAAAGTAGTTCCCTGTTAAATTTTTAGTTCAGTCAGTTATCTTGAAACCAGATTTTTTGTCTTTTGAAAGAAGATTTTAATGACTCTACATTTGGATTTTAAACAGGAGATAAATTTAAAATGTATTATTTTTCAGCTAATCCCATTGCTTCACAAATTTATTCTCAATATTCTACAAGATATTTCTTGTTCATAATTGCCCCCCAAAGAACTCATTAATGCACATTGCTGCTAG